GGAGGAGGAGGAGGAGGAGGAGGAGGAGGAGGAGGAGGGGGAGGGGGAGGAGGAGGAGGACGAGAGCTCCTCGTCGGAGGAGAAGGAGGAGGAGGAGGGGGAGGGGGAGGGGGGGGTGGAGGGGAGGGAGGAGGAGGAGCAGGGGGAGGGTAGGGTGGGGGTGAGGGGGGACGCGGAGGGAGGGCGAAGGCGCTCGGGGCGAAAGCGCTTCAAGAAACGGCGATTTAGTCTTGTTGAGGGAGGTGGAGGGGCCTGGGGGAGTGAATAATAAGTACTTGAACGCACGGTAATTGCAATTGTGGACGGGTGTTGCACGTGGCGGTGAAGGTGATGCTACTGCCGTAGGCTCATCGGCAGCCCCCCTCGGTATGTTGCCGCATTGAGTATGCTTGGATTCCACGGCTTGATTCTGGCGTGTCGTGTGCTATTTTGCATTATTCGCCCGAGGTCAAATTAAATGTCGCGGACTTGTCGCAGAAGATTGAGAAGTTCGAAGTTACTTCTAGCTTGAGGGGGTGTCCCCAAGCACTGTACTCCTAAAACTTGAAAACCAATTAGAAGTTAGTAGCCCATCCAACCTGTAGCCCATCCAACCTGTAGCCCATTACCAAGTTGCCATCACAGCTATTTATACGAAGTAGCAATCTTCCGGTGCCGAATGTACACACCATTAATTATCTCAAACCTATCAAACAACTACGTGGTAACAAGGCCCTTGTGCACTTCTGCGTGCCGTAAACACCAGCACACGAAAGCATAACCAATGGAGAGGGAGAAAGCTAACAAAAGCCTCTACAAAAAATGTACCACGGAAAAAAAAACTTTTTTCGTTCCCCTCCGGGGGGGGGGGGGGGGGGGGGTCGGGTAGGTGTGCGGGGAGACTTTTTTTTTGCGCCCTTGGGTTACATGCTCATTTTCCTCTGCCCAATATGTGTGGTTCACAAATAGGAACACGCCACATCAAGAGTCCCATTCAATGTGTCATGTTGACATTTACCATCGCAGCGCACAAGTTTCGGCAGAGGACTTAGACTGTTCGACTGTTGGACCTGCGAAGAGATGCCCAGAACGCTAACTTCTCGAAATTTTCATGCCTGGGCAAGGCTGCACGAAAACATTTTTCTTCGACACCAATATACACAAGTTCGTATTTAGGAGGGGAGGGAGGGGTCGGTAGTCAAATTCCTGTATATCATGAGGGCCCCGTGGGGGGGAACCCTATCATTGTGCGGGTGCCCTCTGTAGAGTCCGCTGTTTTGCAAGCCACGATCACACGAAACGGGTGCGTCTCATATCAAGAGGGCACCTAACCCGCTCAAAGTATGCGTGAAACGTCGTCCTAGTAGCACATGATGTGTCCCCCATAAGCAGCTTGCGTGAAGTGTGCTCTAAGCCCCAAAACAGGCGAAAAAGCGATACATTTTTTCGACCCTTCCAAGGCCGGTGGGAGTACCTAGGTGTGCGGGATGACCTACTACGTGCACCTCGGCCTGGCTAAATAGGAATTCAAGTATAAACCTCGTATCCAAATATTCTGATGTCAGTGACGCGGAACGTGTCAAACCCTTCGCAAGTGACCAATTCCTATTTCGCTGCTCTCTCTCCGCCGACCATGCTTGTCGGTGGCTAGGCACCACGGAACCCACTTCTGAAGCCACCCCAGGGCCCACCGCAGGTGTGTCGTCGTACTTCATGTGGCGGGCGGTTGTAGCTGTCGAGCATCAGAATCAGTGTTGGACATGTCATCCAAGGTAGTTGATGTTGAACTGCATTGCAGCTCTTGTTTAACGAAATAGCGCTGTGAAATCATTCGCAATGAAATGACCAACTACGACATATCTGCCTTCCATCCACCTACTATGTATATCGGTGACCAGGTACCTCGACGGAACTCACTCCTGGAGCCACGCCTGGACCCACCCCATGTTTGTCGCAAAGGCGTGGTCGATATTGATGATCATGTAAATAACATCGAAATTCCGTCATGGTCTTGTGTATTGTACACTGGTCATTGAGTTGTCCACAACGATGCACGAACCAAACGTATGTACAGATGCAAGGTCTCCCTTTGGGGCGTGAGTGCCAAGCCCCCCGCAGGCAACGGGAGATGACATGCCGGGTTTTGTGTATTGTTGATGAGTAACCTGGCTAAAAAGGATCCAAAGAATTCGTGTACATATATTCTGACTTCAGTGACGCGGTAAGTGTCAACTCTTCGCAAGTGACCAAATCCTATTCCGCCGCTCTCTCTCCACCGACCATGCGTATCGGTGGCCAGGCACCACTGCGGAACCCACTCCTGGAGCCACGCCAGGGCCCACCGCAGGTGTGTCGTCGTAGTTCATGTGGTTGGTGGTTGTAGCTGTGAAGCATCGGGATCAGTGTTACACGTGTCCGCAAAGGCAGCTGGTGTTGAACTGCCTCACTGTAGTGTTGCGACGCTGGTTGAACGCAACAACGTTGTGAAACCGTTCGCAATGGAAATGACCGACTGCGACATATCTGACTTCATCCGCCAACCATGTAATCGGTGACCAGGCACCTCGACGGAACTTACTGCTGGAGCCACGCCTGGACCCACCCCAGGTTTGTCGCAGAGGCGTGGTCGATGTTGATGGTGCTGTCATAAAATTGTAACACCGTTAGGGTTTCGTGCGGGGAAAACTGACCATTAAGTTGTCCACAACGATTCAAAAGCCAAGAGTATATACAAACATAAGGTTTCCCTTCGGGGCGTGGGTATCTAGCCTCCCACAGGTGACGGAAGATGACATGCCGACAAGATTTTTCGTCTTTTTGATGGGCAAGGGAAAAACGTGACGCTCGCATTTTGAAGAAAGCATCGCGCGAGCGCACATATCTTTGGAGCCAGCTCGAGCCAGCAACAACTTGCCAGCGAAATTTCAAGCAAATGAGGTAGAAATGCTGGGTAGGTGGTTTATCTCTTGCGATTACAGTTTTCCAGCAAGAACAGAGTTTGTTTGGATCCGAAACAACACCACACGCAGAGGCGAGAGGACGCGCTCTCAAGAAGCATGATCAACACTGTTGTTTGCGCGTTCAGGCTGGTCTGCTGCAGCACCGTATCGCTGTGCCCGCTGCGAAACGTCGACGAACAAAGGTGCTGTTGGACATTGGGGTGACACGATAATCAGTCGTATGGAATGTGCGAATACATACGAAGATCAATAGCCCAAGGGGCATACTTTTCCCGGTATAGACTGCGGGACCTGAAGTGAGCCCAATAACTCCCCTGTCCCATACGTTTAGTCGGTCATGTTGGGAGAGACCGTTAACGGTGTCGGATATCTTCGGCGACAACTTTTTTGAAATCTTGAGCGTTTGTCGGGTTGAAATACATTTTTTGTTTTCTTGCGCGCCATGCTGCATGGGTCAGCGGCTAACAAAAAGTCTCCAGCCGGTTTCAATGCACGTTCTGAAAAAGACTTCGCCACCTCCCTTTCGACAGAGGCTATATCTCGAACGGGTAGTCGTTCTGTGAGATTAAGTTTACTTCTAAAAGAGTAGTCAGGCCAAAAATGGCCGTAATTGACCCCATCCAGAGGAGGGGGGGGTGGGGGCACTACGAAAAATAATACAACAAAAAACCAAGAATTTTCCGTAACCCTAAACCTAACCCCCCTGTACTCAACGATCCATGTCGCGTCCCCCCGTACTAAATCCGGTACAATAGTGTACCCACACTAATACCAAGATACTTGGGGGTCCCACACTTAAAACCAAGACACTTGGG